GATAGACCTGCAGAGATAATAATATGCACGCAAAAAACAAGGCATAGCAAGACAAAGTGACAAAAGAGAACACAATGTCAACAACAACAAAGAAATCCCATGACCCCCAAAATTAATTAATTAATTTTTTAAAATTAAAAAAATATAAAAAAGAAAAACCTGTAAATAGACCAAGGTCTGTTTTTTGACCTCTAGTACTGTCCTCCAGTTGAGTCCCATAGGGTGCCACGCCCGGGCCCCAAAGTCTATCCTTTGCACTCCCTCAGGAGCTCCCTGCTCTGCTCCCCTGCTGCTCTGCTGCAAGCCCTTAGTGTTTTTGCCTTGGTGTGGTGGGTCAAACCAGGCCACTCCCAACCCTGAGTCTCCAGTGTTGTCCCCCATAGGGCCATGCGTCAACAAGAGATATCATGTCTCATACTGGGATCAGCCATATGGTCCCCTCTGTGCATTGGCTGTTCAGAGCGGAGATATCGTCCTCCAGGCTTGGTGGGCCAGGATGCACTCCACTCTTCCTCCCTCTTCATTTGCTCCCATGTGCTCTGATCAGACATATCCATCCCTCTTCAGGAGCTTCAGCTTTAGTGTCGTCCTCTAAAGTAAATTCTTCTGGGGGGAGGGGCCAGGCCTTGTGGGGGCTCTTTCTATATTGGTTACACAGCTTTGGGTGAGCGGGGCTACTGAAACCATTTTAAACCCTTGTTAGCTTATCTTTGTGATAAGGGGGAATGAGGACACTTTAACAATGCCGCTGGGCTGGCTTTGCTCCACCCAGCTGCCTTTGGTGGAGGATGTTCTTCAGTGTGGCAGTTAGATTTTATGTCCAGGAGACCTCTGGAGCTAGGGACGGAGTCCAGCCTGTCAATCAGATGGTGGCTTCCAGATACCTCCTTTGGCAGTCAACCTTCTTATGAGAGAAACTTAAGGATTTCCCTCTGCTCCTTTGCCCTCCCTGCTTGCTGGGATTCTGGTGGTGGCATGGGGGGCCGCTGACCCTGCGACACCGCCAAGTTTGCAGGATCTACCAGACTCTACATCACAAACCTCTGATCTCCCTTCATACCGCTTCACCTTTCTATGTCACCGGCCTGTGGTTCCCAGGAGTCTGAAGCGGACCCATGGACTTCAGTTGGACTAGGTTGGGACACCTTCTTGATAGAAAGCTCTTTCTGAAA